AGCGATTGCAATACCTATTCGAACAGTATTGGTAAAAATTAAAGTTTATCAGCTAAGAACAGTTAACAAGACTAAGGTGATCAGCAATACAGCCGGTCGGAAAAGCAAATGGTAGTAGTGACAACTTCCTTATCTCTAATTCTTTTAGTAGAACAAAATAATTTTAAACCTATACCAATTCCGTAGAAGAACTATGTATATTACCGTTAACTTTATTCTTGAAGTAAAAAATTTTATATATCAAATTCGTTTCAATTAAAGAACATTAGAATATATTTTTAATGGTCGTGGCTGTCCAGAACGCCATATTTAATTACGCGGTAACATTATTTCGACTGATCGAGTGTCAATCTTCAACTGACAAAAACTATAACAAACAAATACAGGCTCAGTTGTCGAAGATATTTAAGAATATTCACAGTTCAACAAATTACAATATAATAAGCACTGACCATATTAACAGCCATCAGCAACAGTACCGGTTTGATGAGCACTTATATTTAGAGACAGAGGCTGTACAGTCTCTAATCATGCACAAAAAGTATCGGATACGTGTCCCAGTCAGAGTCACGCGCCTTTCTTCCTTTCCAGGAAGATAATAAGTACCACTCTGTGGGAAGGAAACACAACATCACACACCATGCTTGCCAAACAATTGCGATAGACACAGCCTTTAAAATGGGGCGTAGAGGCACAGTGTCTATAAGGTCTGCCTGCTTCAAGCTCCGGTGGTAATGAATCGATACTGCTCCAGGGCAATCCCTGTCATATTAACGAGTTCCCTTAAACAAGAAATTTACCACACATTGCTTCAGAGTGCGACTGCTAGGTGAGCATAGCGTCGAACTCAGAACTGCTAGATTCTAAGTTCAAGCCCAGACCTGGGTCACTCGCTCTTTCCCTTCCGAGATCAATAAATGTGTACCATTCTGAGGGAAGAAAACAAGAAACTACACGCTGCGCTTGCCACATTGCCGTTGACTCTGCCCTTAATAGAAAAAGGATATCCTGGCTGATGGTAACAAAACGGAGATCAACATCCTACCATCAACTTAACGAGAAGAAGGGTGCTAAAATGGCCGAATCATGAAAGTGAAGGAAGACATACATTCCCACGGTGAAAAACTTTCCTTATACTTTCTATCTTTAAAATAGAGCAAACCTGGCTGTTGGCAAAAAAATGGAAATCAGCGAGCCCACGAATAAGTATATGAAAAAAGGGTGCCACAAATAACCCCATGAAGAAAGGGCAATGAAGACCACCACACAACGGAACTGTCTTTCTAGATGTTCTTTCTCTAGATTTAGTAGCATTACTACTGCTAATGCTCCTAGAAGTCGTTCAATAATTAATCGTACTGCAGGAATGAACTGTACTAATGCTAAGAGTATTAATCTTGTTAGAAGCAAATTACCCGCAACTCCGAGTAACATCATATAGATCCTAATTAGCTGCTTCATTGGCACAGAGTCAAGCATTTTGCCAATCGAATCAAACACAAACTCACCGAGACACTTGCACTATTTGTGTAAATTTCTTGATAACCAAATATGCTAATTCGGTGAAACGTCAGATCTGCGTTAAATAAAAATTTATTTCTTTTCTGTTATGCTGTCAGCCATACAATCAGATGATGTAATCCCTAGCAGCTAAAAAACGTTGGTTTAACTTTAAACTCTTAAATATTGCAAATCATAAACGCCTATCAAGCAGACGCTTAGAAATTACCTTGATCTGGGCCGCGGCCAAATCGTTGAAAATCTGCGCCTTTAAAGTCTGGCTCCTCGAATCCACAACGAGGTAATGTGAAAACGCTTCAAGGGCTCTAAACAGCAACCATATCAAAAAGTGGGAAATGGGCAAAAATACATACTTCTCGTATATCTCTGTAGCAGCCTCATAGTTCTTAAGTGTCGTATAGAAGTAATTCGCCTTTTGTTTTCTCTCGGTCCTACAGTGGAACGGAACAATATACTGAAGTATGCACTAAAAAACAGTACAAACGCACATTACGCCAAACGCTTTTGTGAAAAGAAAGTTGGAAACTTTAAAAGCCTACGCAAATAACATGCATTAGCATTACATTTATTCATTGTTGGAATAATAAAATCGCCCTAGCCTCAGGTATAAAATACAATAAAAGATTCAGCACTTTAATTCTCTACGAAATACGCTCAATGGATGACAATCCACCAATAACAGGGTTGACACAGAAATTAAATTAAATTCGAAATTAATAAACATCACCATTAAATAACAAAGAAATCTGAGGAACTGAGAAAAGATAGTGACCTTATCAACCATGATTTACAAAACTACGACCGCCAATATACAGCTTCCTGAAAACAAACAAATTCAGAATGAAAAAAGGCGCATGAAAAGGCTACAGAATATTACAGTAGTAATTCACGTCAGCTCGGGAAGAGGTAGTCAAAAAACCGTATATTGTAAAATGACGTATCGCCACTATTCGATTCATCTGCGGTTGGCCAATGATATTTCTAGGTCTACACAAGACTCTACGAAATGGAACAGCATCAAAGCGGAATTTAAAATGGACTTGAAGAAGTCTCAAGTGATGTTTAAAAAATACGTGACCCAACCATCTGCTTAAGTCAATGAACAGAGGTCTTCCAGGGCAGAAACAATTTATGACAAAAATGCTGCAAAATGGTCTATCTGACAAAAGGCGATGCAGCTCAGATACTTCAGTATAGAGTGACATACAACTGCTTTGAGTACAACTGGCAACTGAACTTCCGGCGATAGCAAATAGCTGAGAGCCATTCATAAATTCACATCCCAAACCCGAGAATCTTAATGTTTTTCTAGTGGAATGTGAGAAAAAATATTTTCTGCTGTTAGAGATGGTAATGCTAACGTTTTCAGCGAATTCTTGGACCAGCATCGTCTGAGTGAAACAAAGCTTGCAAAATACGCTGCCTGCTCAACAAGTGATCTACTCTGCTTAATATTTCTAATGTCGAAAAGGTCTGCCCTTATATATAAGAAACGAATCGCGCTGACGTTGCAAACGAAAAAATAACGAAAATCTTACGCAAACGTTAGCAGTTCTTCTCCGTTCATTAGCTGCAGATTTGGGCCTTCCTCGACGCCAAGCAATTCGACCTCGTACACCAGAGATGCATATGGGGGAATGTCGGGAGGCCTAAATTAAACAGTGAGACCACGAAAAAAGGCGTGCTCCAAAATAGAGTAACATTCGTGCACAAATTAGATGCAGTATTTTCAAAAACAGGGAAAGTTGACAGAATGTTGACAGCTTCCCTAACACTTATAGTGCCTTTCTTTCCGTAAATGCTGGGAAGGCGTTGATATTTATCATGCCATCTGTTTAGGGTACCTTACCATTTACAGGGTGTCTATAGTCATGCGACCAATTAAGTCCATGACAATAGACAATGGACAAAACGCTTTGGGATTAAACTGAAATGGAGACGATGATAAGATCAGCCCAAGGTCATATTCACAAGACAAGTTTACAATGAACTGGAAACAGTGATGAAGCTCAGGTATATCATGGACGTCGTAAAGTAGTGGCTTAGGACAGCTACGTCAGATGACCGAATCACTGAAGAGAACATCACGTACCGAGCCCGTGACACGAAGAACGGGTCTGCATGGCCAGAATGTTCAAACAGTGTATTCTGCATATAAATTTTACTAAACAAAAACCAACGGTTCGAATCGACTTGGATCCATCTTCGGCGGATATTATGTACCAACAAGTGGAAAAACAGTGCCAGAAATGTCGTTGCACGCTATTGAATGAGTCTAAGGTGCAAATATGATCAATGAATCGT